GCCCGCCCGACAGCCGGCGCTCGGCGGGGCGCGCTGCCAGGGGGTCGCGGAATTACTGGAGAGCCGCAGCGATCCACAGGCGGCTCTTTGTGCGACAGATAAAAGACGTAAATGAACATATAAACAAACAAACAAACAAATAAATAAAATGATGTTCCTTACTCGGAACTACTACCCTAATGAAGTCAAGACAGTTTCAGCCCTTAAACGTGAATTACACGTCAGGAAAGCCTGTTGTTTGACCAGTCTGACACTTAATTTCTTTTTTTTTTTTTTCCCTCCTCCCTCTTCGTGAGCAGCGAGCAAGCTAAACGTATGGACTCCTATTGTTGAGAAGTATGGTTGCATTCGTTTCACTAGGTCCTTGAGTGGAATTAAGACTACTCCCCTCCTTTCCTCCCCTGCAATGCAGACATGACCTAAAGATGAACTGAGTTTGCCTAGTGGCAATGCTCAGTTCAGTTGAAATGAATGCTGTCAGTGCTTTCATAAATGTTAATTGAGATTTGTTTTAGCCAGAGAAGTGCCTCAAACCAGATAAAACTGTGTGCATTTATTCTGCAGGGCTGGGGTTTGGTGACATAGAGCAGTGCCGTAAGTCTTGGTGGCTTGCGTTTTCCTGCGCTTATACTTGTTTCTCCCTCTTTCTATCATGAAGGTTGCCATTAAGGGTATTGAAAGAGAGCTTATCTGCCCAGCATGCAAAGAATTGTTTACCCATCCACTGATCCTTCCCTGCCAGCACAATGTCTGTCACAAATGTGTGAAAGAAATACTTTTTGCATTTGAAGACTCCTTTGCTGATGGAGGCTCTGAATCCTCTAATCAGAGCAGCCCTCGAATTAGAATCTCTGCTTCTAGCATGGACAGAATTGACAGGATTAATAGATCAGGTATGTATCAGAATTTGTGCATGTTTTCCTGATTTTATTATTAGACTGTCTTGAGCTGAATGGTGTCTGCATTGGTAAAATGTCTTCCCGGTACTCCTGATACGGTTATAGAGACGACTTAGGGATAGTGCTACTCTTGTTCATTTTCTGTCAAGAACAATGGGAATATTTTTAAGGACAATGCACTCTGTTTCATCTATAATAGATTCGTCTTTGTGGCATTCTATACATCTTTATAACCATTGTGTTTGTTTATTTCTGTATTTCAGTTGCGTGGAGATGCAATAGCATCATCTTCAGTAGCATGGAGATGTAGATTTTGGCGATTTCATTGCCTGCCAGTGGCTTGCTCTGGTTTCAACCAGCCCCAGTGCAGTAGCTCTGACTTCCTTCTGAGCCTGTGTAGACTTTGCAAGCTAGTTTTGTCCTGCCCACTTCATTAGGCATACAGTAAATAATTTTTTTAATTGGTTATGATTATTGCACGGTTGCAGATTTGAAGGACAGATGACTGTAAACACACAGCCCTAACAGCCTCCTTCATTGTAGTCTGCTTGAAGATGTAAGGAGTGCTTAGTTTTAGGACTCCTCGTACTCTTTGTGTTATTGTGGTAGAAAGATTCTTGCAGTCTTTATAATCCATGGATGACTTGCTCTGCTTTTATACAGATGCATTGAAAAGTGCTTAGTGCATGATTTACTTCTTGAAAGATACTTCATCTTGGCTTTCAGGCCTTCCTCTGACATAATTATCCACTTTAAAACCACACTCCCTGTGCTCTGGAAGAGTTACCAACAAGACAAGCTCTAAAGCTCTATCTTACATTTCTCATTACTAAAGTTCACCCTTCCCAGCTTTCAAAGATCAAATGTGCAATTTCACCAGCTTCTTTTAAGCAACTATTTAGTACTATTTAGTACTGAATTGTTAGTAGTGGTACTCTTTCAAATCAGTTTGTTAAGCAAAAAGCCACTAGTTCTTGGTACTCCCCCTGCCACCACCACCTTATCCTGAGATACATGTACACAAGTTGTTGCAGAAGTTGTAATCTTTAAATCCAGTGTGGTCTGACATCATCTCAGCAAACTGATGGGAATGTATCTCCTCATCTGACCTGCTAACAGAGAGGTGATTGCTTTCCTAAGGACCTGTTTGATGGGTAGCAAGAGAGGGTTGAGATTTGGAAATAATGAGCTTCCCCTCTCTTACCTCAAAGAGCGTTGGGCAGACGCACATCACAGGAAAATTATCATCTCAGACAGTTCAAATTTGCAGAATGAAAAGCATATGGAAATGGAAGCAATAAAGAATAAATTTTTAAATTCAGATCATACTGTCTTCACTTCTAATGTTGCAGGCATTATAGCTCCATTGCTATGTTGAGTGTGAGATTTGCTCTCAGACCAGTTTGGTACCAGCAATGATTGCCAGCTTGCAATTTACATTTGCACAGTTGTTGTCTTGCATTTGGAGTACTCACACTGTGCATTGCCTTGCTAAATTTGCTTTGTGGTCTGTAGAGGAATTTCCAAGAAAACAGCTCCATAAGAGAGGAAAATGTAAGGAGAAGATCCAAAGTGGGGTCTCACATGCATAACAAAAACCCACTTGAACTTCTGGGAGGCTTGTGCAGGGCATGTCAGTGTCAAGACCTTAGTGTCACATTTCAAAATGCATATGACACCTTCTTCCCATTATGGGATTTTTGGTTTGGTTTTTTTTTTTTTTTTCCCACTTAAAGAATCCCTGATGTCTCCATAAGGAATGTAATCTATTTAAAATGGGTTGGCATTTAAATTCTTGGTATGCCAGAGGGAGCTGGTCTGTATTTGGTCATGTTCTGTGTTTGTTGCACACACACAGCTTGCATTTACAAGTACAATTTATCTTAATGTAAAAAAGACAGAACTTGTTGAAATGGAGTGTATGTGCTGCTTAAAATCCAGTGTGTTGGTTTAAAAATACTCCTCTGTTTATACTGTATTTAAAATAATTTTTAATTAACAAGATCTTGCTGTATTTAACATGAAAACGAAGGCTATTTCTTATTGCTGTCCCATTATCTCTAATGTTACTCTAATTATAGTGTTGGTATAATTAAATCATGTAATGTGGTGATGTTGACACTTGTGCAAATGTTTGAGATATCTCTCCCTGTGCCCCTCCCCCTCAATGCCTTCTTTCTCCCTTTTCCTGTTCTGCTTAAATCTTACAGTTGTTTGATATGCTAGAAAATTAAACATTCTTGCCTTTCAACCCTGCAGGATTTTAACAGACACAGGAGAGAAAAGAGTTGATGCTTTTGATTTGAACCATTGTAAACCAATGGTATATCTCATTTTTTGATGTCTAAACAGCTCTCTGTTCATTGTTCGCAGCCTCACAGAGGAGGTCTTTTGGGTGCAGAGGTAGAAATGCTTCACTTCTTGTGTTGGCTAGAGATAGTCTAGCATTTAGATCTTGAGTTAAATATTGTTGGTTAGCATATAGCTTTTTGTCAGTGGTCAAGTCCACAAAAAGGCTTTTGCAGTGAGCAAAGGTGCAGCAAAGAAGTTCTATAAGGACAGCTTTTCATTCTGTGCAAGACTGATTTAAAGGTCAACTGGACTGGAATTCAGTTAAGGGCTGGATTATATTTTTTTCTCTGTGTGTATATGACTGAAGATACACTGGTGGGTACAAAAATGCACACAGAACCCCAGCAATCACCACACCACCTCCTTCACACCCTGCTTTTTAATTTTCAGGAGTTTACATGCTCAAGTTTCAATGAAACTGCTGTTTTAATGAAGTGTGATTATTGGATTTTTTTCCTTACGTTTGGGAAGTGTTTGACTACTGCTTCTGAGTGGAATGTAATATTGGCTCTTTGTTGTATCTAAGCCTGCTTAATTTGATGAAGAACAGATTGAAATTTGCACCATGTTGATATGAGTAGGTAGTTCTGAATCTCACAGTTTATCACAGTGCATGAGTATGTAAGGAAAACAAAACATTTTATACTTCTAGACTTGTGATATTTGGTGTGTCTAATGGCACAATCAGGTTGAAGGATAGTCAGTCTTTTACCTACATCTCATTCCCAAAATTGAGCTAGTCTGAGCAGCTCAGCCACCGTGCAGGCTTTTTTTAATAGTGATTATGTTTTTTTTTTTTAATGCAATGGTTGTTCAAAAACAGGAGAAAAAGTCCCTAAATTCCTTGTTGCCAAAGTATTGGCAGACACACGAGCAATCCATAGGAATATGGTGTCCTTCAAGAAAGATGTGAACTGAGCTAAACACCAATCTGAATTTCACACTCAGTGGAGGACAAAGCAGCTGATCGAAAGAGGAAGTTTAAATTGCCTCAGTTGAAGGCTGAAAGTGTCATAAAACAGAGATACCATACAATGCCATCAGACTTCTTGGAAAGCTGTCCGTGTCTGCTCTTTTTGCAGAAAGATCTTTTGATTTGTGAAAAAATAAAGTATCTGAAAGAAACATTTTAGGTCAGCTGGCTTCTTTTATGAGGCCTCTCCCTTCTCCCCTCTTCCATTTCCCTTTCCCCTTTCCCTCCCTCCTCTTCCCTCTCCCCTCTCTCTTTCTCTCCCCCTTCCCTTTTTACCCCTTCCCCTTGATAACCCCTTTTTCCCCTTGCCTTTCTCCTTCCCCCTAAAAGCCCATCCAAAAACATTAACTGAGTTATAGGGTGGCAATATAATATCTATTTAAAAAAAACAAACAAAAAATTCCAACCTTTCAAGGGAATCCAGTTGACTTTTAAATCTTTTTTTTTTTTTTTTTTAACTTTCACACATTTAATGTCCATGTCTTCCACAACCATGGAATTCTGCTAATACTGTTTACTTGAAAAACACAACTTTAAGATGTCTTATCCCTTTGCTAACCGTTCACTGCAGCTTGGACTTTTCAACATTTTAAGTGTTGGTACCTCTCCTTGGGAAGATGATGTTTAAACATTGTCTTTAAAGGACATACATAAGATTGCTCTTTGACTTGAGTCTTTGCAATCTGTATGGTAATATTTGTCACTCCGACCATGAGTGTATGTTGTGATTTTTTTTTGTTTTTGTAACTGATTGAGCAACTTATTCCAAGTGGAACAATCAGTTTACAAATCACAGTGGAAAATGTTGTGTGATGATTTCTAATATTTTACAAAATACATATTTGCTTGTTGTAAACTGAAATGTCAAAGTTTAAAAGAAAATGCGGGTAGGAGCTATGTTTCTCTGAGCTGCACGTCTAAATATGTCTACAAAATCCAAGGGGTTTGTTGCTGTGGGGTTTTTTTTGTGTGTGCTTTTTTTTTGTTTGGATCTTCTTTTTTAATGTAACAAGAATTTAGTTTCAGCAAATTGGACACAATACAGACAGGAAAGACAGTGTCCAAAGTAATTCATTACTTCATCAGTGCTTTCTTCCTAAAATACGGGTGTAGGAATCCTCTAAGCAGAAAGCAAACTAGAGTGTTAATATTTTAACACTCTCTAGGCAAAAAAAGAATGTATTTCCTTATTTTTGAGTAGTGAAGTGGCAGAACACGCCAAGAAGCTTAGCAAATAAATTTACAGGATTTAAAACAGGAAAACCACCCCAACCTAGACTCTCAGAGTTCTGTCAATGAAAAGGGATGAGACATCTGAAGGTGTACAGGACTTCCTTGATACTGGATTGCTTTCCATAAACAATGTCACCAGTCTTTGCAGAGCATGGCTCGTGATGACAATCTCATTTTGGTCCACCACAGGCAGAATGAAAGGCCTCCATTGCAATGGATATGAATTTCAGATTGTATTTTTAAACTTGACCACTGCACCATGGTTTTTTTTCCGTGTTATCTTGCTTTGTCATTGTTTGCTCTCTGCTCTAGCATACTACTTGTAGGCAGTCTCGATATGTGCCGCACTGTATGATTATTTTCTTAGTTTCAGCAAATGTGTGTATTCTAGATCACTTTTTGTAGCTGTTGTCTGCATGGCACTGCATGTGAAGTCATCTTTTTGTCTAGGACATTGTAGAAGTCTGTGCAGAAGATTTCTCTGTGTTCCTGTGTGCAGTGCTAGCTTGGAGCATACACTGGAAATACAGTTTGTGTTTCCCTGTTGTTGCTGTGCCTTGCATGCGTGTGTTGCTGTGTATGCCAAGTTATAGGTACTGCAGGATGTGCAGTAATTTGTTCACTTCAAGTAAGTACTCAAAAAATATTAAATCAGACAAAAATCTCTGCTCCCTTAGGCAGGGAGTTGCATACCTATTCCTTGTGTCAGCCATCCTGTTCTGTAAATGCAGCCTAGTTATTCTGCTCAGAACTTGCAGAAAGGCATGAGACCAAGCTGGATGGGAGACTGTCAGTGCATGCACACTTATCCATGCTCTGATTGTGACTTCTTAGCTGACACTCATGCTTAACTGCCATGGGTCAAATTTCAAAGATATTTAAGGGAACTAATTCCTTATTGGAGGGTTGGTTTGGTGTTTTATTTGAAGAGACTCAAAAAGGCATGATAGGAATGGAGGTTTTGGATTATTAGGTGAAGGAGGAATAGGAAAAGAGCCCAAGACAAGTTTATTTTGGATAGCATCATAGGACACTTCAGAAAAAGATAAAGCATTAGCATTTTTGATGGGAAAATACTAATTAAATACAGAGAAGAACAAATTTCCCTTTCTGAAGAAGAGCCAGTTTCAACACTAAGAATTCAGCTTTAAGTCATACCTCCATTTACAAATTCGTTAGTGTCCTGGTTTCAGCTGGAACAGAGTTAATTATATATATTGGAGGAATAATAATAATAATAATAATAATAATAATAATAATAATAGTAATACAAAAGAGAGAGAGGAATAAAATCCAAGAGAAACAAGTGATACCCAATACAATTGTTCACACACTGCCCACCCTGTTGCACTTGACGGTCCCTAGTTTATGTCCTGGTCATGACATTTTATGGTATGGAATATCCCTTTGGGCATTTGGGTCAGCTGTCCTGGCTGTTTTCCCTCCTGGCTTTTCATGCACCTGCTCTCTGGTGAAGCATGGAAAACTGGAAAGTCCTGGATTTAGGGTAAGCACTACTGAGCAACAGCCAAAACACCAAAAACACCTCATACTGAATCCAAACCACAGCACTGTACCAGCTACTAAGAAAATTATCTCTAACCCAGATGAAATCAGGACAGTTAGTTATGCCAATATGCAGTGCTCTTAAAGAGAACTTAAAACAATGCACCAGTACTACAGAAGATGTTCTTTTTTGTTTCTTTGTAAGGGGAAGCTGAGAGGATACAAGTTAAGCCTAAAGATTGACTTAGCCTGCTTCTGAAATATGTAAAGGATTCTTTCTGGTAGTTGCAGCCTGCGGGTTCATGAGTGAGATGGGATGCACTCCTTGTTTGATAACCTCAGGAATATTACCTTGTGAACCTCTGAGTCTGTGTGAGCCATCTCCTTAACAGACTCAAAAGGCTTCTTAAGGTAGTGGCTGTTCTTGAGCCTGTGATTTTATTTTGGAGAGAGGGGGAAATTTGTGTAGCTATTTGGTAGGTGTGCAGCATCGCTGCAGTTCCCCCTTTAGAAGTTAATAAAGATAGATGTACACTGTTTAACAGATCCCTGTGGAGATCTGTGGCCCCTCAGTTGAGGATACAGTAACCTCTCGGATATAACTACCTCAGATTCCCCTCTGATGTGCAGGGATTATTTAGCAGCCCCCCTTTATTGAGGCCTTTCAGGAGGGACCAAGTCAGCCTCAGCATTTTTTGTCTAAATGATTTGGCTGAGACATCAGACTGTTCCCTCATTTTCCTGGTTTTTATGTTGCCACTTGAGATGAGTGAAGTAAGTTTGAACTCAACTAAAGCAATCTTCAGGGAGCTTAAGGTTGGCTATATATTTCTGTTGCTCTGGGAGTAAGCATCTTTCACTTCAATATGTTAGGAAGCTCTCTCTATGGGTAACCAGTTAGTCTAAAACCATGAGGCTTAGCTTCCAGGAGGTTTTTTGTTTATTGTTTCAAAAGGTTACATCTTGAGTGCATCCAAAACTAGATAAAGAAGATGGAATTGGAAGAGCTGAATTTAACATAAAATTAAGCTTTAGAGTAGTAATGTCCCTTGGAGTCAGAGGTTACACTACCTTGTCAGGGCAATTGTTATTTTCTTTGGCTTGGCAAATTGCATATGAATTGGTGTTGTACTGGTTTGGACAATGTGCTACCGTCTGGAGTTGGTTCGTAAATTCCTGTGCTGCTTTTAAAATCTAAACCGGTTTGGTTTGTGCTCATGCTAAATTGGGTTTCGGTGTCTACACAGGCAGAAAACGCAATTCACTGACTCCTAGATCGACTCTGTTTCCTTGTCCGAGTTGCCAGCGGGATATTGATCTCGGAGAGCGTGGCATCAATGGCTTATTTCGCAACTTCACCTTGGAAACCATTGTGGAGAGATACAGACAGGCAGCCAGGGCAGCCATTGCTATTATGTGTGATTTCTGCAAACCTCCACCTCAGGAGTCCACAAAGAGCTGCATGGACTGCAGTGCAAGCTATTGCAATGAATGTTTCAAAATACACCATCCTTGGGGAACTGTGAAAGCCCAGCATGAGTATGTAGGACCAACCACCAACTTCAGACCCAAGGTAAATACCCTGTACCTTACAGAATTGGGTTTGCAGCATCCTCTGGTAGCTGTAGACACATCTGCAATGAGGGTTGCTTTTTAGGACCGTGATTGGTCCTAAACCTTTTTTGTCCATTGCTGTTATTTATCAAGTGACCCACAAGCTTTTGCTCCTTGCTGATGTTCAAGTATTGTCATTGAAGGGGACATTGAGAACATAGTTGAAGAGTCCAGTAAAAATAAGGTTTTTTACTTCCTGGAATGAATTTACTCATGATTTGAGTCTTTCTTTCTTTCCTTTTTTTTTGTTTTCTTAAGGCTTCATGATCACAGAATATTCCAAGTTGAAAGGGACCCACAAGGATCATCAAGTCAGCTTTTAAGTGAATAGTTCATAGAGGGATTGTATCCACACCCTTGGTGTTATTGGCACCTTGCTCTTGAGCATATAGAATGGCACTGCCTAGGGAGGAGGCCTATGTGTTTTAGATTAAAAACCCCAATAAACCTGGCCTCTTCCATGCCCCCTTTAGGCACATCCCAATTGGACACTTTGTGCTTGAACTTGATCCATCACCAAGCATCTTCTTTCTCTCCCTCCTTGTGTCTAACAAGAGCAAAAGATGGAGTTAAGGTCTCCATTGTTATTACACCATTTTTTTTTTTTATCTATAGCAGAAGAGATAAAAATGTTATGGCAAAGTTTCTACTTTATAATACACTGATGCTGCTGTTGCTATATTCAGACAGAACAGTGATAGCAAAAAGAACCTTTATGTCTTATCTTGAGAATGATGCAATACATGGCAGTGCCTTATTGAATTTGTTACGTCACAGATGTTACGTGCCACGGATGCTATCTTGCTAACCAGGGACCACAATAATGGCCTTAGTGTCCCAGCAAATGCTGTATGCCTGTGCCTCCTTGCTGGGAGTCCCACAGGTGCCAGAAATGCTGATGATCAAGGAGTCATGATTAATTATGGTTGAATTAAGTAAATTTTATTAATGTGCAATGTGTAAGAAACTCTTGACTGCTGGTGTGCCTTCCTTCTGAGACTGGAAAAATTCGAGCCTCTAAATTTAGCAAGCTGGCAGATAGTGAACACCCAGAAGTCCACTTGGTGGTGTTTTCCTCGAGTCTAAAACATTAATTCCAGTTAAAAGTGTGCAAGTGCTTCATATGCTTTCAAATGTGCTTGTACACACATTATGTGAAATGTCCCTCTATTGGATAAATGAGAAAGATGAAAGTTTGCATACTTTCTTATAGCTCATTCTTTAAAATACTATACAGCTCCTTAAAAACTTCTCTTCTATGGCATCTAAACCTTCACAGCTGCAACACTGCTATTTGAAAATACCAAAGGCATCTTGTGATCCCTGTGCACTCCTGGAAGTGTTTTATAGTGTTACAATACATGCAGACTAAATTCAGGATTAAAAGTCCGTAGCTGAATTCTCTTGAAGCTGAGCAAAATGAGGTGAAGTGGTTTAGATTATTCTAACGCTGATGTTCTGTGTGCATGTGTAGGATTTAGCATTACTAATTACATGTGAAGACAAGAAAAGGGGAAAAAAAGGAGAAAAGCATGGTGTAGTTAACTTTAGATACATCTACTTTTTTGAAAAACTTCCCAGCAGCTATAAGCTGATCTTTTACTGTGCTCTTATAGAAACTTTTCTGAGGACTGTTTAGGCTTAATATAAAGAAAGAAAAGTGCATTTTTCATGGTACTACATTTTTAAGACCTGAGCTGAAAGCAAAGAGTATTTGTTGATTTCCTAAACAATGTTCTCAGTCACCGCTTTAATTTACAACCAGGCTGGAGAGCACTTTGTAGCATGTGTGGTGGGGATGGGAGAAGGACATACTGGGCTGATTGTTCTTGAATTTTGATAGAAGGCAGTCTGTTCTTGAATTTTGAGAGAAGGCAGTCTGCTGACCTCTGCTGTCTCTCACTTGCAGGCTGTAATTCTTGCTTATATGAGGAGACGAATGAAAATAAGGGATTTTCTGTGAGGTGTGGCTATACACTGCTGTGAAAAAATTACTTCCACAGACTAACTGAATGACTGTACTTTTTAGAGATGTTTGCCTGCACAGCTGATTTTCTTGGCAGCTTCCTTTCTTCCCTTTTTTATTTCCTTCCAAATCCAGCAGCCAATTCAAATGGGATTGCTAATTGCATTTTTGTCTTAATGATGGTCTTAAGGTGCTGGTGAGACTGGTGTCTTTGGGCTTTTCACCATAGCCTAAGATAACATTTGGGACTTGAAAGCTGGTTTTAGCTTATTGTGTCCATATTTGTGCTGCTCACAATTTTCTATTTTTATACTCTTTTCTGACCTCTCTTGTGTGGGGGCATACTGAAACTGAAAAGCTTCCTCAAAAGCTCTTCTTTGGTACCTTCTATGGAATAGATGACCCAAATATTGTCTTTCAGTGCTCTAGAAGGAGGCAAAACAGGTGTTATTTGTTTTTATTTAAACCAACACACATGCACACATGTGTTTTATATGTTGCCTCAGCTGGGACTTGAGCAGCACTTTTTTTAACTCTTTGAGCATTTATTTCAGTAAGTTCAGTTTTTGAAAGATGATTTTTAGCAAACACCAGCTTTCTTGCAGTACTGTTTGAGCTAATCCTGGAAATAGCACTCAGTGTGAACAGCCTGTAACTGGAATCAGAGAGAAAGATTGAAACACTGGAGTCTTTTGTCTTTAAAATGACTGTAGCTGCTGGTGGTGGCTACACTTTGTTGCTCTAAGAGCAGTGGCTATATGGCTTATCAAAATCTAGCTTAGACTTAAATTGCTACTACATTATGTCAGCTCTTGTTTTAAGAAGCTGTTCATAGGTGTTGCAAGAAATGCTGGCATGAGCATGGTAAAGTTTGTCAGGCTGGGTGTGTTATATATTGCATTTACAGCTCTGAGCAGGAGTGTAGGGCGCTGGAGGCATTGCAAACAACATGGGCAGGGTTTAGCAAAAGATTGATTGCTATATGGAGGCTACACAGAACTGCTGTATGCTTACTTACTGTAAACCTTGTGAAACTGTGTGTGTTCATCTGCTGGCTTTCAATGGCACTGACAAGTATAAAAGGTGGAAGATAAAACTACTATAAAAAAATTCACTGATGGAATCACATTCTGCTTTGGGTTGATTGGGTGTTTTGATTTTTTGTTGAGAACCTGTATTTTTGGAAGTATGCCTGTATTGTCTTTGCACTTTTATTTTTCCCCACAGATTTTGATGTGTCCAGAACATGAAATGGAGAGAGTAAACATGTACTGTGAAATCTGCAGAAGGCCTGTTTGTCATCTTTGCAAACTGGGTGGAGGTCATGCAAACCACAGAGTAACAACCATGAGCACTGCCTACAAAACCCTTAAGGTAAAAGAAAATATCACTGGACCTGGCCTTAAGAAGGGAAAGAGTACTTCTGATGTGAGGGCAAACTCACACTGCATAGAAGCCAGGATGTGTGTTTAGGAGACCCTGAACTAGTCTTGAGGCAACGTTGGTTAATGTTATTTATTAATGTGATGTAGGCCATGTTTTAGAAACTAAACTCTATTTGCTATGATGCTTGAAACATAAACCCTGGGAAGTGCTTTCATCTTTTTTTCATCTGCTAATTGTACAGCACTACAGACGGTGCAGAAGGTTTAAGTAGTTAATCAACTTTTCAATCAACTTTTTTAAATGTAAGTGTTCAGGTAGCTTGTGGTAGAGGATACTTGAGAAGCACTTCTGAAAATTTGCATCTGAAGTATCTGCTGGTATCTTTGTATGTATCTTTGTACGTTTCTGAAGTTGCATAGCTGTTAATTTCCAAAGCAAAGCACAACAGAGAAGACTTGCAAACATCAATTTGTTATTAAAGACAGCACCTACTTCCTCTTCTTCCTTTTCTTCCTCTCTTGCTCTCAGGAGAAAAAAAAAAAAAAGGAAAAGACCAGATTAGCCTGCCTTGTGCTCTTTGGCCTCCTCATAGTTTGCAAGGCTTTTCCTGTACAACTGTTAGCTCTTGCAGCTAAGGAAGCACAGGGACAGATGTGTGATTTGAACTATGCATTTTTCTAGCAACTCCTACTACAAATCAGTTATTAACTATCAACTCCTTTCTGTAAGTTTAATGTTCTGAAGCCTCTTTTTCTCAATCTAATCCTGGGTGATTGGGAGTCAGCTGACACTGATCCTGACCTGATACCTGATCATCTAAGGATCTCTGGTCCTTAGAGCCTGTGCCACCAGTCTTGCTCACAGATGCTTTGCAGTCACTGCAGGTCGCCAAATATTTCTCCACAGGACTGCTGCTCATAACTGGTTCATGCTGTTGTCCTTGTGGCTAGATAAACTGAGGACTAGCTGGATGACCTGCCTGTGCTGGTTGTCACTTTGTGTGAGATGCCCTAATCTTGATGCTTTCCTTCAACAGGAGAAGCTTTCAAAAGATATTGAGTACCTCATCAGTAAGGAGAGCCAGGTGAAAGCTCACATCACACAGCTGGATCTGCTGCTGAAAGAAACAGAGGTAAGAGTGGCTTGCAGATTGTCTGAGGTTGGCCTGTGTGCAGGCAGGAAGGATTCAAAACTGTTTTCAGTGAAGTGTTTCAAACTTTTGGTTTTTTGGTTAAGTAGTGAAAAAATTTTTGAACAGTTTATGGTAGTACTGAATCACACACAGTAAGACCTAGTCCTGCCAGTTTGGGAAGCAGACAGAGAGAAGTGCATTTTTGGATGCTGCTGTAAATTTAAATGAAATAAAGCTTACTTGGTACCTTAACCAAAGTGGGTTAAACATAGGGCATTGCTGTATTTATGATGATCCATATTTATGCTGCCTGTTTACCTTGAGAAAGTCAGAATTAAGGCCAAAATATCCCTGCAGAAGAGTCACATACAAGCTGATAATCACAAAGGCAGAAATTGCAGAAGTTCCTGATTCTGGGGTATCTTGATTACAGATTGCCTCTGTGTTTTGCAGTTCCTTTTATCCAGGGCAGTAATCAGAGGTAGCACAATGGTTCAGAGGGTGTACACAAGAAGTTGGGCTGGACCCTTAGTTTAGGATGATTGGGAAAGGTGGAAGAGCATCTAGATCTTGGGTATGAAGACTTCTGAGGCTGACATGTTTCTACAGTGCTTTTCAATGAGCTATCTAGGCAAATGTAATGCATAACTCAAGGCGTAATCAGAAGAATACTTTCCTGCTCTTCATTCTCTATTAAAGACAGCAAATGCTGACTAGCTTGGGTGGTGTGCTGATCTCATTTTCAGTGCTGAATAGCATAACAAAGCTCATTAGTCTTGTCTGTCAAAAGGATGACTAGATTACTGTGATGTCTTGAACAACCTTAAGTATGTTTCTGTGCAGAACCATAGTGATATAGAATCTGTCTAAAATGTCTTTTGTTTGCTCTTAGTGCAACAGTGAAAGAGCTAAACAAGAAGCATCTCAGAGTTTTGAGAAATTATATCATGTCCTGGAAGAGAAGAAATCTGCAGCTCTTAGAGCAATTGAAACTTCTAAGAATATAAGGCTGGAAAAATTGCAAACACAAGTGGAAGAATACCAAGGGCTCCTGGAAAATAATGGCCTTGTAGGATATGCTCAAGAAGTGCTTAAGGAAACTGATCCCTCCTGTTTCGTTCAAACAGCAAAACAACTTCATGTCAGGTATCTCACCTTCTGTTTGGGGTGCAGGTACTGTTCCAGGATGTCTGTGCAGTTGTATTTTGGGTGATGCTCCTGGTCATGTTCAGTTGGAGTTCCTGCATTAGGAAACAACACTCAGGAGAGGAGTGCCCTTGTCCTGCCACAATGCCTAGCTTTGTTCAGTGGAACTGCAGTGGCAGGGCAGTTGTTTAGCTCCCTGACAAATTCCTTGTCTCAGAGATTTTATCAGGTATTTCCAAGTTAATCTAACAGATCTGTGTTGGCTTTAAGTTCTTTGATCTTTGTGTTCTTTACTAGCACCTCACATCAGTTTTGATCTTTGAATATAATGCTCCAAATTGTTTAAATGCTTTGCCAACTGAACGACTACCTGTTCATTATCTTCACACTGATGTACAAAAGGTCTTTAAATTTTTCATGAGAGAATCTTTCTAGAGAGACAAAAATTTCTGGTAGAGTAAGTACATAAGGAAGTAAATAAAAGCAGAAGTTTTTTAAAGCAAAACCTAGCATCTTCAAGGAATGTCCATTTTGAATTGCCTTTTTTCTCTTGTGCTATCCCACCACTGTGTTTTCAGAATCCAAAAAGCTACTGAGTCTCTGAAGAGCTTTAGGCCAGCAGCTGAAACTACTTTTGAAGACTTTGTGGTGGACACTGCCAAGCAAGAAGACATCCTTGGTGACTTGTCCTTCCATTCCAATGGTAAATTCTGAGAGCATTCAGGTCTTTCTCAAGTTCTAGCTCTAAGGGCTTCTCTCGAGAAAGGCAAACCATGCACAGACCAGCAGTTGCAGAGCTCAGTGTTGTGGCTTGTATCGTTCCTTCTGTTTCCACAATTCAGAATGCATTACCTGGCAGCAGTGTTAGTTTCAGCTTTCATAAAGAAGCTAAAATTGCTTTCAGTACCAGTTTGCACTGGCTTCCAAAATATTGTAGTTACATCACACTCAGTCTTTCTAAAAGCTTTTTAATGCCTGACAGAAAGTAATAGTTTTTAAAGCTGCCAGAAAGAAAAAGGCTCAAGCTTTTCAAAGTAAAAACAGAAAATAGGGGATTTAGTTAAGTGTATGAACAGAGAATCATTCTCATCTACTCCTTTTAACTGAGAGTCAGATTCCCCCCTTTAACAGTGCTATACAAAGCTATAGCTTAACAAAGAGATTATGTCTTGTTTTAAGACAATTTTAAGAGGTAAATACTTTAAAATCAGTTTCCTCCCTATATAGTTTCAACAAATACTTTTTCACCAATAAGGAAAAATAAATATGAGTAGATAAAAGTGAAAAAATTACAGTTTACTAAAGAAACAAAATAGCAATGGGCCAAAAATAACAGTAATAGTCCCTAGTTACAAAGTGGCTGAAGTCTCACAGGGGCACAGATAGATGTGGAATACAATAACATTTTGGATTTCCCAGGACTGGTTGTGTGGACTGTTAACTCCAAAATACCATGTATCTAAATTTCAGAGGTTTTTTTTCTCATGTGTTCCAGGTCTAGAAATACCAGAAATCAATGAAGAGCAGAGCAGAATGTACAACAAAGCTCTGATTAGCTGGGAATGCCCTGGGAAGACAGATTCAGCTGATATCTATGTTCTTGAGTATCATAAACTTAGTAAAGAAGAGGAAAGTGTGACATGGCAGAAGACTGAAGTCTGTGGCAAGAGCAAAGTATTATCTGATCTTGATGATGACAGCAGCTATGCCTTTAGAGTTCGAGGATACAAAGGGTCCATCTGTAGCCCCTGGAGCCGAGAAGTTATTATGCATACTCCTCCAGCTCCAGGTATGGGATTTTCTTATGTCCATCAGTGTTAAGAGCTGAGAGTAGTTCCTGGTAGCTCCCAGGTGTCTCCTACACTGTTACAGTTTCATAAATGTGTAGAGGCACTGTTATAGTTATAAGTAGGTAATACACAGAGACTGTTAGCTTGCATGACATTCCTGGTAGCCTTTAAAAGCGACAAATTCTAATGCCAGTATGACTTAAAATGTAGTTTATGAGAACTGAAGGCCAAATATATAACTAAGCAGAATTTTGTTGGGATACTGTTTTTCAGTTTTCAGTTTTCTTTTCGATGATAAATGCGGGTACAACAATGAGCATCTCCAGCTGAACCCAAGAAGAACCTCTGTGGAAAGTAGGGCTGGATTTCCTCTGCTTCTGGGATCTGAGCGCTTGCAGGTTGGCTGCTACACAACCCTGGATTACATCATTGGCGACACTGGGATTGCCAAAGGGAAGCACTTCTGGGCTTTTAATGTGGAAGCCTATTCGTACCTGGTGAAAGTGGGAGTTGTTCCTAGCAACAAAATACAGAAATTGTTCCACAACACCCATGATGTGACCAGTCCAAGGTAAATTGCATCCTCTTGCTTCAATGCATGTTTTACATAAGGAGCTTTTTTTTTTTATAAAAAGTAAATCAAGAGCAAGTCTGGTCTCAGTACACAAGGTGAACCTAACCAGTGAAAAGTTTGAAGGATATGGTGTAAGCAGGTTGTCCTGTCCATCCCTTACTATTAGCAGAAAGATGTCCTGCTTATCCAGAATCCTATTTTCTTTCTTTTTGGGAAAGAAGGCAGGTTTCTGTAGATGCCAAGGAATGTCAGTTAAAGCAAGAAGGTTAAAAATAAGTGTAAGTTTTAAGATAGAAGCAATGCTTAATTATCAGTAGTTAGGCTCTGCCTTAATTCCCTTAGCATATAAAGTTTGGCAGCCTCTCAGAGGTACAGTATACTGTACATAATTGTATGTTTTTGCAGTAGCTGTGTCACAGTGGATTCCAAGCCACTGGCTTTACCCCAGGCTACTTTTTTACATACTGTATTGGAGTGCTACTGAGCACAAGCCAAAGTACAGTGGACAAACCAGTAAAAAGATTTCCATCTCACAGTTAGAGTTGTAGCAAGCCTGGATGTGTGTAGGAACTGTAGGCAGGGAGGCTATCTCCTGGGGACTCTTTTTCAGAAATTTAACAAATGTTTGGCTTCCTCCTGTATAACAGGTGGAAAATGTGTCAGCACAGTTGAGCTTAAAGCCAGATGGAGGCATTTGCAAAGTGAGAAATTATATCTGAATTTCCTGATTTCTTTTTCATTCTCCACATAGATATCTGCAAAATTTTAGCTGACACAGAAACAGCTGCATCCCAACATGAAACAACAGAATCCCACAGAAACAACATGCCCCCACAAGCATCCTAAAACTGAAATCCTAAGTAGGGAATGTCTGTACTGAAGAACATGTGCTTCTCCATGCATCTTTATCTGGGGACAGATGTGGAGGGAAAAGGATGTAGACTGACCAAATATGTCTGCAGACTCTTCAGTAACCATCTGGGAAACTATTCAGGGAAGTGTTCAAACTGAGCACTTTAAAAGAAGCCCCCAGACTTAAACCACTAAAATACTACCTTTTGTTTTGTGAATTTTACAGGTGCTTTAACATAGCAGCATCATGGAAAACTCAAAAGGCCATGTTCTTGTCTGTAAGGGCTGGTCATATTTGCTAAGCTACTTCTTAAGTTAACTAATTTACTGCACCTGTTGGTTCATTAATGATTGCCTAGTATAAGAGCATTTAGATACATCCACTCCTTAGTAAAGCCTTCCGTGGTCTTGTCCTCATGGGAGTTCAGCTGTTCTTCTCCACCTACTAAATGCATCTTCCTTCCTGACTTCAGTATTTAAACTCCACCTACTAAATGCATCTTCCTTCCTGACTTCAGTATTTATCACTGGTGTAAGCAAAGCCTGGTGGGATGAATGCTGTGGGTGGAGTGCCCTGTTGGTTACAGGCTCTTCAGAGGGACAGGCAGGACAGATGTGGGGTGGCACTGTCTGTAACATAATGTCTGCAATGTATGGAGCCTGCAGCTGGCAACGCCACAGCTGAGAACCTCTGGGTAAGGATTAAGGGACAAAGTGGATGTCATTGTGGGAGTCTACTACAGACCACACAGCCAAGATGAGGACACTGATGAATTACTCCTTAAGGAACTAAGGAATACCTCTACAACAACCACCCTTGTTTTCGTAGGGCACTTCAGCTTGCCAGATGTTAACTGAGACCACCACATAAATGATACAAATAGGTCCAGAAGAATCCTAAAACACCTGGATGATAATTTCTTGGTATAGGTACTAAGAAAGTACCCTTACCTAAAGGTGCCCTCCTTGATTTTTTCCTTGTCACGAGAGAGGATCTCGTGAGCAAAGTGGAGATGAGTGGCTGTCTTGGCCACAGCAAATCACAAAGCGATAGAGTTTAAAATCTCTGTTGTCAAGAGAAAAAGTGCTAGCAAAACTTCAACTCTGGACATGAGAACAAACATTGGGCTGCTCAGGGTACTAGTCTGTAAAGTCCCCTGGGAGACCACTATTGAAGGTGCTGAGGTCCATCAGTGCTTTTTAAAGTGGTTCATCAGGCCACTTTTTAAGAACCGCCTCCTAAGGGCACAGGAGTGGGCAATTACAAAATGTCTTAGGTCAAGCAGGTGAGGCAAAAGGCTGGTTTGGGTGAGCAGAGATCTTTTAGAGCTAAGGCAAAAAAAAAAAAAAAAAAAGGGTATGGCTAGTAGAAGCAAGGTTGGGCAAAATGGGAGAAATAAAGAGATGCTGCTTGACATTGGAGGGTGAAAATTATTCATGTGGCCAAAGCCTAACTAGAGATGAAGCTGTTCAGGACTGTGGGGAACAATAGAAAGAGTTTTTAAAAAACATGTTAATAGCAAAAGACAGTCAGAAATACCATTGGTCTGTTACAGGAGGAGGACGGTCACCTCACTGAGAGGGACCGAGACAAGATAGGGATGTTTAATGCTCTACTGACCTTGATTTTCCACACCAGTGGTGGGCTTTGGGGTCCCAGAACTCAAGGACCGTGACTGTGAGAACGATAAACTCCCATCCAACCCTGAATTTGTGCAGGATTTGCTGTTCTACCTGAAACCCCATTAGTCTGTGGGGCTTGATGGGATTCATCCTAGTGTACTGAGCTGGCTGATGTCATTGTAAGACCTCTCTGATGTTTCAATGGTCTTCGGAGGTGCCAGTCAACTGGAAGCTGGCAAATGTTGTCCCAGTTTTCAAGATTGGCAGGCAAGATGACCCTGGTAACTACAGGCCTGTGAGTCTCACTTCAGGGACTGGCAAATTTATGGAGAAGATTATTCAGGGAATTACTGAACAACACCTGAAAGACAATGCAGTCACCAGGGAAAAATCCCGTTTGAAAAACTCACTTTCCTTTCATGACAAAGGTAACCCACTGAGCTGACCAAGGGAAGCCAGCTGGTGTAATCTCTTTTGATTTCAGTAAAGCTTTTGATGATGTCTCTCCCAAGATCCTTCTGGGCAAACTGTTCAGCACACAGCTGGATAAACACATCATGTGGTGGGTGAGAAACTGGCTCATGTTTTGGGCACAGAGGGTCGTGGTGAATGGGGTTACACCAGACTGGTGACCTGTCACTAGTGGAATCCAGTGGATGTAATCTTCTTGGATTTCATCAGAGCTTTTGATACTATCTCTCCCTTCTGGATAAAATATTCAGTGCTCAGCTGAATAAACACAGCATGCAAGGGGTGAGCAACTGGCTCAGGGGTCAGGCACAAAGGGTTACAGTGAATGGGTTACAAAGGGTTACAGTGAAATACAGACATCAGTCTGGTGACCTGTCACTAGCAGGGTTCCACAGGGCTCCATCCTCAGCCCTGTGCTCTTCATCTCCATAAATGACTTGGACACGGGACTGGCCAGGGTACTAAGCAAGTTCACAGATGATACAAAACTGGGAGGAGCTCTTGACACCCTCAAAGTCAGGGAGGGCCTGCAGAGAGACCTTGACAAATGAGAGGACTGGGCAGGCACCAACTGAATGAAATTCAGCAAGGGAGAGTGACAGATTCTGCACTGGGATGGAGCAACCCTGGAGGCACAGACAGACAAACAAATGACAGGCTGGAAAGCAGAAATGAGTGCAGGAAAGGGGCCTGGGGTTCCTGGTCAGTGACAAGCTGACCCTGAGCCAGCAGTGCCCTGTCAGGCAGGAGGGCCCCGGTGTCCTGGGGTGCATCAGGCCCAGCATCACAGCCGGGCAAGGGAGGGGATTGTCCTGCTCTGCTCTGAGCTGGGGCAGCCTCACCTCCAGTGCTGGGGGCAGGTCTGGGTGCCACAACACAAAAAAGACATTGGGGTGTTAGGGAGTGTCCAAAGGAGGGCCATGAGGATTTCAAAGAGTCTGGAGGGAAGAGGAGATTGAGGGGAGCTGAGAGGCAGACATGATCTTTCCTCTGGTGACCACCGGCAGGATCCAAGGGAATGGCATAAAACTGTGTCATGGGAGGCTTAGGCTGGGTGTTAGGAAAAGGTTTTTCACCCAGAGGGTGGTTGGAACATTGAAGCAGGCTCTCCAGGAAGTGGTCATAGCACCAAGCGGGCCAGCACTTGAGAGGCATTTGGACAATGCTCTCAGGCATATCGTGTAACTCTTGGGATTGTCCTGTGCAGGACCAGGACTTGGACTTTGATGTTTTTTGTGGTTTCCTTCTAATTCAGGACATTCTATAATTCTATGATTTTTTTACCACACAAATTTTTTTTGTGTCATCATGTGGTATTGCCTATCTTAGAAAACCGTTTTCTCCAGTTTACATCACTTATCCCACTTCAGCAGCATTTGACAAAAGTGCATGTTTGTTTTTTTTTCTATTCCAGATATGAGCAAGACAGTGGTCATGACAGTGGGAGTGAAGATGCCTTCTTTGACTCATCTCAGCCTTGCACACTGGTCACTTTAGGCATGAAGAAGTTCTTTATCCCTGCTACACCTGCTGCTCCCAAGGATCCAGCAAGCAGAATCCTTCCCCTGCCATCGTGCTTGGGCATTTGCCTGGACTGTGACAGAGGCAGGGTGGGGTTTTACGATGCAGGCCGTATGAAGTGCCTGTATGAATGCGAGGTGGATTGCTCTGGCTTAATGTACCCAGCGTTTGCTTTAATGGGCGGTGCGGCAGTGCATCTTGAGGAAGCTGTCACAGCCAAGTACAGGGAGTACCACAACGACATCTAGTACAGTAATCTCTTCCCGTTGCTGTTTGGAGACAGAAAATGAAAGCAGAAGGATTCTACCTTAGCTTTTAGTCCTGATAAATTGTATTCTGCCTACATGTTGCTCACAAGCCTCTGGCCTGTGATTTTTTTAAATAAATGGTCCAGGCACTTCCTGCACCAGAGGAATTCGCCTGCCTTTCTTGTGATCTGTGCAATGCTGTTCTCCACAGACTTCTTTTCCTGAGGGATGCAGGGAAGAAGTCTGACTAGCAACCAAAATTTACTTTTCAGGACTAGCAACCAAAACTTACTCTTCGGGGTAGAAATCTGCCTTTTATTTAACTTAAATACTTACATAGTCAGTTTTGTATTTAATAAAGTCAAAGCTGACTGTGTGTGATTGCCATTACCCTCTTAAGAAATCTGCCTGAATGCCTCTGTGGGGTCAAATGCTTTCCAGTTAACCCCTGAGCACCACTTTGGCCTTTCAGCACAAAATAGCATATAAAAAAATATAAGATAAAAGAGGAAGAAATTAGAAATGTTGTTGAATGTTTAAGTTATACTTGGAATGATGAAGGTAAACTTGAATCTGATTGCATGTTGTATACCCTTAATGTGATTGTAAGTTAAAACTCAAGTTCTGACACTCAGTGTCATATAGTTGGTGGCATAATGGTAAGTTTCTTTACTCTTCCAGGCTTTTACTATAAGCTATCTAAAAGAAAGTGCAATTGTACCTTAAATGTCAGAATTTGGAGTCAAAAATCAGAAATGTTTGCATGTGTGAATAATAGTACCTGGTATTTAGGCAAAAGCAGATGAGTTGCTGACATAAGTAATCATATGTGAATTAAAAAAAAAAAAAATCAGGTATTTCTTTTAATACTTGCTTTTATAGGTTATTTTTTTTTATCTAGTAGCAGCTTGGATTTTTCTTAGTAAGAATATTAAAAATGCACTGGTTAAGTTTTGAGACCTAATTTCTGCCTTAAAGGATGTCTCCTTTCAAATTTCAGTTCCTCTAATGTTAAAAGCTGTATCACATAGTAGTTTTTCACAGAATCATAGAACCATGGGAACAGCTTAAGTTGGAAGGGACCTTTAAAGACCATCTAGTTCCAACCCCATTTCTCATGGGCAGGGACATCTTCCACTAGACCAGGTTGCTCAAAGCCTGACCTTGAACACTTCCAGGGATAGGGCTCTCTCCACAGCTTCTCTGGGAAACCTTTTACAATGTCTCACCACCCTTATTGTTAGAAATTTCTTCCTTATATCCAATCTAAACCTATCATCTTTTAGTTTAAAGCCATTGCCCTTTGTCCTGTCTCTTCAGGGCTTGGTAAAAAGTCTCTGTCCATCTTTCTTTTAAATCCTTTTGTATGTTAAAAGGCCATAATAAGGTCTCTCTGGAGCATTCTCCATGCTGAACAACTCAATCTCTTACAATGTCTTCACAGGACAGGGGTTCAGCCCTCTGACAATTTTTGTGCCTCTCCTCTAGAACCACTCTGTACTGGGGGCCCCAGAGCTGACTGCAGTATTCCAGGTGGAGTCTTGGTAGAGCAGAGTGGGAGAATCATCTTCCTTGCCCTGATGGCCACTGGGCAGCTCAGGATGCTTTCTGACATTCTGAACACATTGGTGGTTCATGGTCAATTTTTCATCCACCAGGATGCCCAAGTCCTTCTTGCAGAGCTGTTCTCCATCCCCTAGTCTGTATTGATAGTGGAGATTACCTGGATCCAGGTGCAGGACATTATGCTCGGTCTTGGGGAACCTCATGAGATCCACATCAACACCAGTGCCAGTGCAGACCCTTGAGGGACACTGCACATTACTGGTTTCTGCTTGGACATTGAGCTGTTGACTGTGATTCTCTGTGTGTAGCTTTGTATCCAGCCAATTCCTTATTCACCGAACAGTCCATCCACTTAAACCCTCCTCTTTCAAATTTAGAAGACTGTAGTGGGGGATCTTATCAAAGGCCTTACAGAAGTCCAGGTATGTGATATTCTTAGCTCTTCCCTTATCCACTGGTGCAGTCACTTGGTCACAGAAGACCACTAGGTGAGTCAGGCACTGCTTGCCTTAGCTGAACTCATTAGGCTGCCCCTGATCACTTTCTTGTCTTCCACTAGTTTTGACCTATCTTCCAGGAGGATCTCTTATATGATCTTACTGGGAATGGAGGTGGACTGCCTCTCTTTATAGAAACCTATGTATAAAAAAAAGTAGGGTGCGTGCACTGTTGACTTGTGGAAAAATAAGGATCTAAAGTGAAGGATGTTTCTAATAAGTACTTGGTGCTTTCTGATTTGGGGATATGCTTTCTAATTTGGGGATATGCTTTCTAATTTGGGGATAGTGTTGCATCTTGATGAATGTGTGTGAAGTATGCTTGCTAAGTACACATATACAGCTGTAAAGCTGTGAAATGGGACCTGAAAATCACAATACAGTTAAGTGAATGTAGGTCATAATGGAAAACTTTTGTGGGCTTTGCTGTCTGAACTGTTGTACTGATCTGACCTGGAGTCCACCTCTCCCACTGTCTTCTCTCCTAAGCCTGTGACTGTGGCCACTGTTGGAAAAAACTGTCAGAAATGGCTGTCTATTGCCAGCATGAGCATGACAGCCTCTTTGGGGCTACAAAGACCCAGCAAGGGCAACTTCTTGTCTGCATCTCACCTACAAATGTTTCTGTCTTGATAAGGCTGTGTGGAATTGCACTCTACAGATTCAGTGTGAGTTGTGTGAGAAACACTTTGATGTCCCAGCAGCAGGTATGAAGTATGGGGTATCTTTTGAAATTTTCTCCTGCAGGAGAAAAGATAAACTGTCTCTTACTAGTTAGCCTTTCAGTAATTTCTTGTGTTCTAAATGGTTATCATTATGGCCTTTCATTTCTGTCATGCCCTTCCCTCCCTTTCATCTTCCCTCTTACTGGATTGAAGCCATTGTTCTCTTCTCGCTTGATAAGGCTGACTGAACAGCCTGTCCATAAGACAGTCTGTTCCTGTGAGGGATGACAGAGTTCTGTTTTACTTCTTCTTGTAGTCCTAAAACCATATTTGCCCTTTTTTTTGGTTGAAACCCAATACTAGGCTCATGATGAAGCTTCTTCTACAGTGTTTTTCACACAGTCCTGATGGTTAGCTGTGCACGAAGGGCTTTCCCCACCTGGTGTGCTGTTTTGCATTTGTTTATGTTGGTAATGCTTGTTTACTTAGTCACCAAGTTCTGAGGGCCCTCTACAGCTCTTTGCTCACTTCTAGACTTGGATGTTCCTGAGTAGCTTCATTGGTAACACAAACATGCCCATGTTTTTGTTTACAGTTTGCTTTTTCAGGTTGTGGAGCAAACTGAGTTTTAGTGAGACTCGGCAGATCTCTCTGCTGTTAGGCATTTTTGTTCCTCCTGCTTTTTTTCCCCCTCCAATATTTATTGGACACAAGTCAAGCACTGAAAACTCTTACTAATATTAGTATACTCTATTGAGTAGGTGAGTCATGATCTTGCATGTGAGTGAAGCAGACAGAGCCAGGAGAAAGGATTCTCACTTCAGTAGCTGTGACTTCCCCCCTCATAGAACGGACAGTGGTCAGTTCATCTAACAAACTGTGTACTGGCTTAAAGCTGCAGGTTGTAGGGCTGAACTTTCTTTTCCAGACCAAATCTCCTTCCACAGACAAATGTTTCATTTTTGATTCCTTTGTTTCAGAAACTGGTCTAAATTAGAGGGTTTATGTCATGGTTAGCATTCCACATTTCCATATTTAGATTTCTCATAAGCATCTGGACTGGTATCTCCAGACCTTTTTTTACTTTATGGAAATATTTGTAAATGAACACTATATTGCAGATATGAAGACAGTGTCTCAGACTCACTGATCTAAAAAAAGATTATTGGTTTAAGACTACAGAAGTAAGAAATTAAAAATGTAGGGGCTTTTTTTTTCTACTAGAGTTTCAAATTCATTTAACATGTTCTGCTATGCAATTACTTACTCTACTGGACAGAAACTGATGCTACTTTAAACATTTATCTACCTTTTGATATATCTGTTTGTATTTATCTCATTCTGAGTTTAAAAATTGATTTGGCTTTTGGTGTTACTTGAATATTTAGTATGCATTCCAGACAGTACTCTTTGGTGCTTACTCCAGCCTATTAAATAAAAAACACACTGTCAAGAGGCACTGACAACACGCTGTGATATTTTTTCCACTACCATGGAAGTGTCAACATTCAGAAATACAGTTAAGCAGTACTTGCCTATCCAGATAATTATTTTTTTCAAGTTTCTCCCTATGAAACAGCACTTTACTATGTAGACTAAACTAAAAATGGTGTGGTATTGTGTGGATCTTTGTGCAATATAGCTGTTTGGTGACTATGGTGTGACTTGCAAAGCTTCATACAGGTGTGGATCATGTAGACACTTTTTAGATACCTAAAGCTTTAACAGAAAGGCCTTGTTTGAAAATATTCTAAAATGTAAAAGTGATGTCTTGACCTTTTTTTTAATAAAAGCTGAAATCAAGTATCTTAGTCATTCACATTATTACATCCCACCTCCTATTTCCCACCTATATTTCAACCTACCTGGTTGAAATAATTTTTCCTACAAAACATGACAATAGGTGACTTGTGGGGAGAAAGCACTGCTTTGGTTCTCAAGTGTGCTCAAATACCAGTACCTCTGATTTCAGGAGGACTAAAGAGTAGTTTGGACTGACTGCCAGGCTTTTACTTACAATGATTATGTTCGGAACTTGATTGTCTGAGCTTTGCTGCCTCACTGTCATGGTTTAGGAATGGTATTCCTCAATTAAGTGTTCCCATGGAAACAGCCCATACATGTGCTGCTTCCTTCCTTCCCCACTGTGGCAGGATGGAAAGGAGAATTGGAGGGACAGAGGCAAAAATCATAGGTTGAGATAAGGAGAGTTTAATAGAAGCAACAATTAAATAAGAAAATTAACAGCAACAGTATTAATAACAGTGTACAAGACAGGAAAATAGTTGACATGGGATTGCTCGGCACATGGAACCTGGTGCCACCTGAGGGCACACCCAGCACACCTTGGTGAAAAGCCCCACATCCCTCTGTCTCCACTGAGCTGGTATAGAATAACCTGGCTGTGCACCTCTGCAAAAGTTAACTCTGCCCTGGGTG